CTCCTACTGGAGTAATAAAAAGAGAGTAACAATCGTTCTCAACTAAGTCTGAAGCGTGGTGTTTCTGGATTAATATGAAGATTATCTCCTACGAGATTCAACTATTTCAGAAGCAAATATGGAGCTTTCACATGGAAATTTTTAGTCATCCATACACTAATAGATGTGTTAGTTTACTTTGGATCCCTACTGGTGTATCTCTTTTCTATACTGTTTTTGCCAATTCTCATTGTGTAAAACTATTTGCCTAAATGGCTTAATAATACAATCCAGCGTTAAAAAAAAAAAAATGGTTTTATGGTTTATAAAGAAGGAAACAAAGCTAAAGAGTGGGTCCCATATTAACAAAGAAAAGAGATATGGTTGGCTCACACTGGGCCACCAAGGAATCCTTGTGTTTACAATTTCCCCTCTCATCCATAATTCTCCTTCCTTCCTTCCCTCTCTATCTTCTTCTCCTTTCTATCACTGTTTGGATTTTCTCTTTTCCACTTCTCTCCTTCGTCTATTTCACAAGGTTAGTCTCCCTCTGCATCCTTACGATCCTTTATCATTAATGATGGAGTTTTCAGATTTCCTTAACAATCAAGAACTTGAGTTTTATTTTATCTTGATGGATGTGTTTAGGGTTTTGTCTTCCTAGAATCGAATTTAGTTCAAAGTTGTTTCGCTAAAGTTAACACTTAGAATTTATAAAACTGGAAGCCTAGAGTTTATGTAAGGCTAGCTAATGGTAACTTGGATCCTAAGTTCAAGTTCTTTATTAACAAGGTTTGTATTGTCGTGTTGTACAGAGAAGTTTTTAGGTTTTTATTATCTCAATGGCTCTTAACGTGAGCAAAGGGGTTCCTAAAAGTCTCATTTCAGCGAAGAGGGCTAGTGTCTCAAGATCTCAAAAAGTTTTGTTGGCGTTTCCCTTCAAAAAGGGGTCGTGTACTGAAGAATTACAAGGCCTCTGTCGTACAAAGCCTGTTACTTCTCGTAGATCTTCTTCTATAGTGTGTTTTCTTGGAAAGTCTCAACAAGACAAGGAAACTAAACCTCACGAGGATTGTCTTGATTTACATAAGTAAGCTTGGCACTTTCAACTTTAGCTTTGAAAGATCGACACTGTCCTGTTTTTGTTTAGCTGATAAGCTTCTTGGTGGTGTTTCAGCTCCCAAACTGTTCAAAAAGAAGGTGAGAAGGAAGTGAAGCCAAGGAAATCAAGCCAGGCTTTGGTGGAATATATGTCCAATGATGCTAAGTTTGTGAATGAAAGAGCTCGTAGTGACTTTATTCTTCTGTCTCGGTATCTTCTCACATTAGGATCTAAAGAACTCATTACATGACATCTTTAAGAGGTTTTTATGTTCATGTTCTTTTCAGTGGCTTTATGAGACTTGATGCTCGTGCACGTCAGGACGTTGCAGTTATTGGGTCAGGCTTCCTTAAACTGGATGGTAAGATTCTGAGACATGTTATTTTGTCAGTATATGATTGTAATCCTGCCTTGTGCATTTTTTATTATGTAGCTCGGGCAAGAGAAGATACAGATAAAATAGATCGTGATGTCAAGAGAAAAGCCGAGCGCCTTCATCATATTGCTACTGTATGCCTAATTATCCTCTCATTTAAATATGCACATTTATCGTTTTTCTTAGTGTTTTTTTTTTTAAATTTTGTTTATGTGTATAGATATTTAAAAATACAGCACAGTCTAAGTTGAAAAATGCTGCTGATAAACATTGGAGTGACGGCGCCTTAGAGGTTTGCGCACATCCGTTTCATTTTAGTATGCTTTTGGTAAGTGTGGTTGAGAGATTTTTACCCTTGTTTCCAGGCTGATCTAAGGCGAGCTGACTTCCGCGCTAAACAACGGGCAATGGAAGATGCATTAATGGCTTTAGAGGTAAAAACCAAAGACTAATAATCAATCTGTTACAGTATTGATGTTTTTTTAATGGTTACACTTACTCATGTGTCTTGTTTTGGTTGCAGTTTATCAAGAACATTCATGATATGATGGTGCAAAAAATGGTTGATAGCTTGTAAGAAAAGAAGCATCACATCCTTGACACTTTTGTTTTTGCTGAGCTAAAAGTCTTAATTGTTCATTTTTAATAGGGTAACATCCGAAACTGGTACCAAAGACCGCATATCACTTGAGAAGAATGGAGAAGCTCTAGAGTTTTTCCTAGGGGAAGTTTCATCTGATAGTATATCTGCTATTGAGGTCTCTGACTTACTAGAAAACACATTAAGTGTGTTGTTCTAAAAATATTATTATCTCTGATGATGCTTCCTTTTGAAACAGGAAGCTTACAAGAGTATGGCATCAGCGCTCTCAGAAGCCGATGGAATTTACTACACTGATCCTGAAGAGGTCGGTCCAAACATCTTTTTTTTGTTACAGTTTTTCTTTGATTATTATAAATAGTTATTTTTCTTTTGGGTTTTTAATAGCTTGAGCTGTTAGTAACTACTCTGATCGACCTTGATGCAATGGATGGTAAAAGCAGTGCATCACTATTAGCTGAATGCTCTAGCTCTCCAGACGTCAATACAAGGTAAACTAAACTAAGTTAAATACACAACATTCAAGTAGTAAAAACTTGGATAGTGCATATGAACATTTTCAAAAACTAGTGTAACATGCTCTCTGATGTAGGAAAGCGTTGGCTAATGCCTTAGCAGCTGCGCCGTCGATGTGGACGTTGGGAAATGCAGGCATGGGTGCATTACAGGTAATAAGAGAAATGATATTGATGATGATCATTCTTGCAACATTTTTGATGGACTTTTATGTAATATATAAAAACAGAGACTCGCGGAAGACAGTAACCCGGGGATTGCAGCAGCTGCTTCCAGAGCGATCATTGCGCTGAAGAAGCAGTGGGAAGTTGAAGAAGGTGACTCACTTAGGTTTATGATGAACTTGGAGAACCCAAATGGTGATGAAGATAGAGACAGTGACCATGACGAAATCTGATAATAGTTTTCTTTTTCATGTAAAAGAATAGATAATTTAGAGTTAATGATGATTTCGTTGGCCAAATATATAAAAAAATTTAAAAGTATTTAGCGTTACTGTTAAGTTTTTAACTTTACTTTTGTATATCTCGAGTTCTTATGTGTATTAATAATGTTTCTTGAATTATTTGTACATTTGAACATCCACATGAATTCTATCTAGTTTTCTTAACAGATTTATATAGCTAAGATATCGTATAGTTGAATATCATCGTTTTTTTTTTTTGACAAATAATTTAATATCATCGTTACATCAACAAGTATATTTAGGCCTAAGTATATTCATTGTAGAAAAATGTATAAAATTTTCATACATTTATAAGTAGTGACAAAACCATCCGAGGCATTTTAGTTTTATTATTAAATTTGCGAAAATACAATTCTTGCATAAAACCTACAAAATGACATTCCATATTTTTTATTACAATTTTAGCCTCAACACTATCTTCTTCTTCTCCTCTACAATCTTGATTTGTGCTCACTCAAACAGAAAGACATGGCTCTCTCAAAGCCACCACAACATTTCAGTCCCTTTAACAATACAAATCCTCATCTTGAAACTGCGGCTTCTATCTTGACATTCTCTATTGATTCATCAAGAAGCAAACGAAGAGACGTTCTTCTCTCAATCTCAGGAACAATAATCCCTCAACTGTTTCTCCTTGACAGCAAACACTCTTCCTCCGCAAAAGCTGCTGACCTTTTCAGCTTCATGGCACCAGAACCCGAGCCCGAACGCACTGTCGAGATGGCTAAGGTGGTCCCAGTGACTATAACATACTAACATAACATTTATAGCTTTTGAAAGTTTAAGTCATTATTAGAGATGTGAAGTTTTCATAATAATTTCTTTGATAGGAAGGATTAAGGAAAAATGGGGAAAATATAAAAGAGATAATAAAAGAGATGATGATAGAAAATAAGAGGTGGAAAGAAGGAGGGAAAGAGTTAAGAAGAAGTGCTTCAAACATGAAACAAGATTTGTATTTAATCATCCAAGCAAAGCCTCCCAAGGATAGACCTCTTCTTAGGTCACTCTATTCATCTCTCTTCAGCACAATCACCAAGGTACATTTCTTCCTTTTTTCTCTAACTAATATATAACATACTCGTTTTTTTTTACTTTCCAATTGTAAATTTGTAGATGGATTATGCAGCAAGAGATGGGGATGCAACCAAAGTAGAGGAGTACAACAAGAGTCTTGCTGCAACACTTGATAATATTTTTACTCGAATTTAAATGTAGGCCTAGCATTCCACATACTATATTATATGGTGTTATGATTTTATAGCATTTTGCTACTACTTGAGTGACAGATCAAAATGAAAAAAAGAGAATAGACAGGACCATTAAATGTTTTTCTTGTGTACAAAATTCGAATCCAATACAAATCTTAACTCCAATTCCCACCCTAACGAAAGTTAAAAAGCTTTTTCTCTCACAAGAAAGCAACAAGGTTCAAAATCACTGTCAAAATGCTCCACATTCCTCGACTGTAATACAAATCACTCACTCCTACTCCAAAGCTCGTTGAATTCGCCGATGGCGCCGTTATGTTCACAGAGGTCCCGTTCCTAGTACCATTACCGCGGCTACAACCGGAAAAAAGAAAACAAACAAACAAAGATTAATACATGTTACTAGTAAAGACATAATCAGAATCTTTGATACAAATAGACCGAACCCATTGGTTAACTGAAAACCAGAACCTAAATCAAGATTAAACACCTAAACCAAAAATGACTTAAAGAAGTATAATGAAATTTACCTTCCTTCAAACACACATGAACCATGACCTGCATAGAAGCCACAAACCATGCAAAAGGATATCAGTAATTACACAATTTATATATAACAAAATAAATAAATAACTTTTTAAAAACTTCTTACTTGGATCTGTAGTGGTGATACTAGCAACTCCATTAAAGTCACAAGCCTCCGGATTATTCCCAGTCTGATGATAATAAGTATCAAACGCATAGTTAGCATGAGCAACCACATTATCAGGCTCATAACAAGCCTCTCCTTGCTTAATAGGCGAACAATCAATCTTCCCAGGCCCACAGGCCCAATCAAGAGCAGCCTGAAGCATCTTAGGATCCGCACCTTCCCTCGCAGTACAAAAAGTCTGGTTCGTAGTATCATTCGCTAGAATAGACCCCGAGTTAGTCAACCTCAACACGTAAGCAGGTTCACCATTAGCGTTAAACAACCCCCAGCTCTTCTCGGACAACGACCCCGCCTTCTTATCCTCGTTGTAAAGCTCGTAAATGTAAGTACTCACGGCGATGCCGGGACGCTTTGGCGTCCCGGTCTTGTTGAGGACATGTCTAATGAGGTTGCTATTGTAAGTGTTTGCGTTGTCTAGCGTCGCGTCGGGCTCGTTGGTTTCGCCTTTCGAAGGCCAGCCTGACTCGGTTACGAGGACGGGGATGTTGGTGAAGTTGAGGAATGACATTGCGAAGTAAGTAGCGTCCACCATCGCGTCGAATGCGTTTGAATAGTGGACGAGCGTGTTGGCGTCGACGGCTTCTTTGTTCGGAGGGATGGGTTTGAACAGAGCGTAGTCTAGTGGGATCACACCGTTTGATTGCATGTAGTCGTAGTACGGATAGATGTTGATCATTAGGAATGAGTTTGTGGTCTGTAGGAAGGTAAGCAACGGGACGATAACCGGGTTTAACGACCGGTTAAAGAAGGCTTGAGAGGGAGGGAACGGGTCAAGGATCAAGGAGGTGGATAAAGGAGTAGAGACTTTGATCAAACGGTCGAGATTCGATGAGAGCAATGCGGAGTGGATGTTTTTAATGGCGTTGACTAGTACAGGTGCTGCGTTTGGGAGACTGGTTAATACCTCAGTGCCAACGGAAATCGCGGTTATAGTTGTTGCAGGGTAATGAGCAATGACGTTGCGTTTGACCCAATTGGCTGCGGTTGAGTTGGACTGACCAATGCCGAGAAGCTGGTCGTTAGGGATTGTGATTATGACTTTGATCCCTGAGTTTGCTAGAGCGATCAGCATCCCTGGATCAGCGTCGTATAAGCGGATGTGTCGGATTTGCTGAGTTTTTAGGAGGGCAACGACTTGTGTTGGGTGTGGCATGTCTGAAAGATCAGTCCCTATGTTTACTCCAATATATGCACCTAAAAGAAGTAAACATACCATTAATAGATAAAGATTTGTATTTTTGTTTTTATGTGCGTTTTAACCTTTAAACTTATACTACATGTGAGGTGCAACAAGATTTAAACTCCTAAACTGAACTGTGAGTATCCATTATTTGTCCAAAAATACATTTGTTCTGTAATAAATCTGTGGGGTATTAAAGACACCATTCTTGTTTCTTAGTGGGGGAACTAAAATAATAAGCAAACCTGCCAAACACAAACAGACATTTAATATCATAACCTACCACTCAATCAATTAGAACAGATAGATAATGCCACAAAAAAAAACTTATAAAAAACCTTATTAATCTGATGCTAAGTGTTCTAAAATTAGTTTATAACAAGAGAGAAGAACCAGATTTTAGCTATTTCATCTAATAGCTCACAGTGAGTATTAGTAATGAAATGTAACTAACTGACACATGCAATGGTTAAGCCTCAAATATGAATCTGAGAACAGAGAATCAAGATCAAGAAAACATGTACTCACCTTCATCAGCTGGAGGAGAGGGAGAAGCTGAAGCAAGAACGAAAAGAGAAAGGAGAAGAAGAAGAGGGAGAAGATGAGGAGCCATGGAAAGAGACATACTTTTTTTTTCCTGAGAATCTGAGATAACCCAAATAGACAAGAAACAGAGGAAGCAGATGTTTATGGGTTTATGAGTTATAAAAATGTCGACTTTATGAAGAATAAGTTGAAACCCACAAAAAGGGGAAAGGGGAAAATTGCGTGAGGGTAGAGGAAAAATAGGGTAAAACTGTGAGGAAGAAAGGACATGGAGAAAAAGTTAGAAAAATTTGTTGGTGATATCGAAAGAGAAAGAGTGGCGCAGTCCACTGGACGGCTGAGATCTTATCTTCAGAGTTCAAACGGTCAAAATTAAATCCAACGGTGTTCTAAAATCTCTAATAAATAGAGACACTATACAGTCAGCGGTCACAGTGGTACAGTGGGAAACAAAACCTAGAAACTTGTATCATAATATTAAAAGAGAGATTTTAAACTGTAACATCTTATAAATAACATAAAATTAACTTCATATAAAGTAATTCCAAAATTATTTATCTGAAATATGATAATTAAGTTTACATATGTTGACCAAAAAAAAAGTTTACATATTTTAAATAATCATCTAATAAAAAAAATTATTTCTTGTTTGTGAGGTATCCTTCAGAAAAAATCTTTAAATGTTATTAGTGACCTCTTTTCTTGAAAACGAAGAAATAAAATTGAACATATTAGTGCAACTTGGTACTGAGTACTGTGTAAAATGTCTATATGTAAATAAGAAAATGTACACGATAATCACTGCTATCTGAATATTCTGAGCATATGATGTTAACAAAACATATACTCTCTCCGTTTCAAATTATATGTCATTCTAGAGTAAAATTTTCGTTTCAAAATAAGTGTTATTTTATAATTTCAATGCAAAATTTATTGATTTTAAATGTTATTCTATTTTTCCATTGGTCGAAAAGTGGTTAGGTGTATAGTTAATTGTGTTTTTATTTTGAAAATATGTAAAATTAATTATTTTCTTAATATGTGTGCAAAACTCTAGAATGACAATTAAATTGAAACGGAGGGAGTATATATCTGCAATGAATTATATTTTTATTAAGAAATTGGAAGTTTTAATAGCACAACTTTTGAGTGCAAACAATTTGCATTGGACAGCAAAATAAATGGGTAACTACGAAGTAGCCGTTGCCATTCTTTTGTTTGCTTGCCTCCTCACCCTCTCATGACATTTGGTATTTTTTATTTACCTTTATGAATTATCGAAAATCATCCCTTAAAATGATAACTCCTTGTTTTCCATTTTTTGACCCATAGGATTATGGTCTACGAATGAGAATTTTCCCAGAAACTATATACAAACAAAGGCTTGTTTGTGTAATAATAAAAAAATAACAATTTTGTAAAAAGAAGGTAGAAAGAGATAAAAATAGAAAAATGAGAGAATGTGTAATTTTGGTTAGTTAGTCAATAATGCTTGGTTTTGTTAGTGATTGCAATCTCTGTATAATCTCTATGAAAATATGAAATACAACAATAAACACTAGATATAAAGAGGTAATGAGTCTACCCCATTGTATTTATTTATGTTTTTGTTTTCAATTTAAACTAGATTTTAATTCGTGCTTTAAAAACGTAGCAATGTTTTTCTATCGAAATTTAATTTAATAAAAAGAAATAGAAATGTTTTGGAGTACATGCTAATTATATATGTTTACTGCTTTGTATTTATATTAAATATGAAATTATATATAAAATAAAATTTTGTTTGATTTCATTTTATTTTTTACCCTATCCTATAATTCTCTTAGTGAACTGTTATAATTATGTATTTTATTTTAAAATTCCTATATATAAATTTTTTTACTCTAGAAATGTATTTAATATCTTGATGTTGATACTAACATCTTATTTATTTACGGTCTTTAATTTTATATGAAAATTGTTTTATTTAAATGAATGTCTTTCCTACAATTTGAAACTATAAATAGAGTAATTTTTTCATTAATTTACTTCATATTAAATGAAATATTTTAGTATTTAAACTTGAAAATTTAATTAATATGAATTATTTGAGTGTTTTAATCAATCTTTATTTTATTAAATAATTTATATTAAAATTAATAAAAAATATTCGAAAAGTAAGACATAATGTTTTATATTGTCTGAACATAAGTTTAATTATTTATTGTTTGAAAACATAATTAATAGTATAATGTTGTTTTACACAATTACTCTAAATGAATTCTTTGTTTTTTATTAATTACCAATAACATTATATAATATTACACATGACTAAAAATTAAGTCCAATTTAATGTTTATTTTTTAAGAAAAATTAAATTTTGCTTCGCACATTTGTATGGATATGTTTAACTTTTAAAAATATACGGTATATGTTTATTGTACATAAATATTGTGATATTAACACATGATTATTATTTGTATTGAATGTTATTTTTATTACATATTAATTATATACAGTATTGAATGTTGTATTGTATCTTTAGATTTTTAGTGTATATAAAATTATTTGTAACACAATAAGT